CTCTTGCTTAGCAACCAAAATGTTGGCTCAGAAACTCTGGCATTTGAAGCACGCAAGTCTTAAAGCTGTCAAGTTATAAGACCCTTGCACCCCTAACCCTTTAGGAAAAAAAAAAAACCCAGGCATGTTCAAACTTGATAGCTTTAAGACTTGTGGACTTCAACTCCCAGAATTCCTCCTCCTGTCATGTTAGCTCAGGAACTCTGACATTGAAGTGTGCAAGTCTTAAAGCTATCAAGTTACAAGACGCTTGCACCCCTAACCCTTTAGAGAAAAACCCCCAGGGGTGTTCAAACTTGACAGCTTTAAGACTTGTGGACTTCAACTCCCAGAATTCCTCCTCTCGGTCTTCATCTTGATGATGTGCAGATGGGTGGGGAGGAAGGAGCTGGAACTGGTTCTAAACGGCACTGTAGATTTGTGGAACCTCTTCTATAGAAGAGGTTAGAACTGGCAGGAACCTGGTGCCAGCCCTCCATTCATGTTGTCCGGTTCCCTTTTCCTCTTCCCCCCCCCCCAGCCAAGCTACAAAAATCGGGGTCTGCTCTATTTTATCGTTGCCAAAGGATGGAGCCGTAAAGGGAACGCATATTAAAATAATAACTCAAGAAAGTGGAGGACCCCATCTGCTTCGGAACAGAAATGTTAGAAGCAAACTCTTACCCCAAAAAATAAAAAATTACACTCTGAAAAAAAACAGGTTTTTAAGAATCGTTCCCCACCCCACAGCCCCTTAGCTGTCATAAGCATAGGAGGGGGTGGTGGAAGATGCTTGAAAATGATTCCATTTCTTGTGCCTAGGGGGAAAAAAACGCGCCTCTGTGTTTCTACTCCTCTCCTTCGGTGTTGCACTTCTGGCTGTTGGTGCAAATCCGTGCAAAGGGCAGGCTGCGTGGGATTGGGGTCACATGACTCAGAGGGAAGAGGGAGGGGCTTAGAATGGAGACCTTGCTGACTGCCCCCCTCTTTGCCTCTCCTATAAGCGAAGCATTTGGGGTGGGAGAGGTATGTCTCTTTTCCCGAAAATAGGACATGTCCCGATAATAAGCCCAATCGGGCTTTTCAGGACATGTGCTAAAAATAAGCCCTCCCCCAAAATAACCCCCTGATTACTTAAATGCTGGTCCCTGCCATTTCCACTGGTTGCTTTACGCGCAAACAACTGAGGTGAGGAGGCGAGGCCGGAAGGGGGGGAAGGGGGGGGTATGCCCCACGCACCCCACACACCCTTACCGTACCTACTGGTAAGGCTAATGGCAGGGCAAAAAGAGAGCCCACAACGCACCTCGCGCCCCACCCCTTCCCGTGTAAAAAGACCACCTCCCACCCCGCCTCAATGGCAACCGCATCCCGGCTACTTCCTTTCCCGTCTCTTGAGTGAGAGGGGTGGCAGGTGGGGTGGGGGAGAAGTGAGGTGCGTGTCCTTGGGGTACCGGAGACTTGTGCTTTCAGAGGGAGCATACGTCTTCCCTTTTTGGGGCATATCTGGGCACACTAGATGCTTTGACAAAACACTTAATCATTCCTCTGGCTCAGCTGATAAGGGAGGAGAGCTTGTGGCTTAGAGGTTAANCTCTTAAACCCAACCACAATCACTCCACGCACACGCGGAAACGTATGACTAGTTTTTCTTTTCTTTTTTTTCTTTTTCTTCCCCTAATTACTTGCATTTTATTCTTTATACTACTTATGTTGTTTGTATTGGTTGTCAAGGATTGCACCAGTGGGCTAAAACAAATTTCATTGTATTTATTTTGTACAATGACAACATAAAAAAAATGGCTTTCTGCCTGGATGGCTCCCAGAGTGAACCGATAGACAGAAAAGGGAAGCAGTATGCTCCCTTTTTGGGCATACCAGGGCATACTTGGGCATACCAGGGGTTGTGACACAATAAAGATTGAGATTGTCTTGGCAATGTTTCGGCAAGGTCTCCCTCGCCATCTTCAGGCTGGTGTTTTTGGCTTAAAGCGAATATATGTTTTCGTATATTTGTTTTCACGGGTGAGGTATGCTGGTCTTGTTGTATTCGGGTCTTTTCCCATGTAAGATTGAGATTGTCTTGGCAACGTTTTATACACACACACACACACACACACACACGTACATACATACATACAAGTTTAAGTGCTATTGCTAGTCAGTACAGGCAACCAACACAAAGAAACCCCCCCAGACCAAAGGGAGATGTTAACTCAGTTAAGGAGAAAGGCTGCTCCTGCATCGAACCCTCTTAAATTTCTCTGTTCCCATTACCTTATCTGCAAAGTGCACAATAATGAATGCCATGTTTGACATGCGAGGCTTCTGGAAATGTTGACTGTTCCCGTGGCGATCATAGAGTTTCTGAGCCCAGTTCTCGTCCGTCCCTTTAGGGAACTGTTTTAAAAGACAATTATTCCGAAATGCATGGGACATACAGTTAAAAACAACACCACCACCTAATTCTGAATATATTGTTCTCAAGGAAGGCTAGCATTTCACTACACAACAATTGCAACTACCTGAAACAACTTCCTCTATCTGGAGCGGCTCTGATGTTTACTTATTGGGATAGTATTAGCTTATGTGACATTTACTCAAGAGCAAAATTACATGCATACGGTAATCCTCGGTTCCACCACAAAACCGCGGTAGACTGAAGCGCGCTCGACGAAAGTGCGTACGTGACGTCATCACAGCGCGACGAAAACAGCACGCTGTGAGCAGTAAACTTAAAAATAACTCATAAATCTAAACCTAACCCCCCCAAACCTAACCCTAAACCTAACCCTAACACTTAATGTAACCCTAAACCTAACCCTA